TTGCATACTTGACTTGGAGGAAATCATTTTTCATTAACTTCGAGCATTCATATTTTTATAATTTTCTCCCTCTTCATATATTTTTTCTCATATTCTCACAATTCATTTTTTTCCTTGATTTCATTCACTATTTTCTTCGACCTGAAAATATAGAAAAATTCAATGACCCCGATTTTTTCGATGAAAGTTTTTGACTTTTTAAACTAGAAATGTAGATTTGGCGTTATCATCACAAATTATGTCACAAGATTCATAAAACTTTTTTTCGGAGATGATAGGGGACACACGAAAATTTCTGATTACTGTAGGTCATGTTTTCTATTTATGCCTTATTTCTTCGCTCAGAAAATGGCACCATGGATCAGAAGTTTATTGAAAGGGGCGGAGAGAACGTCACCGAAATTTTTTATATTTTTAATGCCGCTCGGCTTGTGCCCTCTCTAATTCCATATTTATCTAATCCTTCTCCTATCGTCACTGAAACAATTTTGATTCTGATCCATTTTTTCTTTTACGAAAATAAAGATCCCCGGATGTTTGCTTTTCCCAATCACTAATGGATCAAAAACATGCATTAAAAATTTTAACAAAAAAAATGAGATTGAAACCATAAAATGGATCATGTGTGTTCCTAAATCTGTTTCTGTTTTTCAGAAAAATGCATCCTTACTCATAATTTGTTTTTTATATTTCTTCGTTTTTTTTTATTTTCGATCAAAGTTCTCCTCTTGCTTCTTAACAATTTCTTTCAAGTTTCGTATACTATAAAGTTACACTTTGAGAACTGGTCATTTAACTTTTAGTCATTTTGGTCTCATGGCAAACGTTAGAAAAAAGATATATGAGAAGAGAGAACATCATCAAAATGCGACCTCTTCTTCTTTTTTTAAAACTTTATTCAAACCATAAAAAACAGCTGGATCATAATTTTTCCCTCATTTTTTTTGCTGACTGACTCCATTATTTTTTTTATTTTTCTTTCCAAATGATGGAATGAAAACAAGCTATTGTGTCATTGTTCTTTTATGAATGTATGAAATATTTGAGTATCTTTTTGTGATGTTATGTTATACTCGATCACTTGGGTTTCCTTTTTTCTTGTGGATAATGTAAACGGTCTTCAGAATATTTTTTTTCAAATTATGGAACATTTGTCCTGTGTTAGGACACTTGCGAGCTAAGATCACGGGAGCGGTGTTCCAAGGACTCGGTGACACTTGGACACGAATCCTGTGCCCTTGAGTAAGTCATCAAGGCGGGGGTTGCTAGCTAATGAAGAATGTAATAGTTTGTGGGATACTTGCTAATCCTACCAAAAACATGTTCAAAAATGTTTTCTTACATATTTGAAGCCTAATCCTTTTTTTCTATTTCTCTATATTACTTAGCCCTACATCTAGAAGTGAGTTCAATTTTTGACATCACACGGATAAATCGGCATGATTCTGCAAGAAAAATTGTTATGAATCGGTTGAAAATTGTTTCGTTTTTTGAATTTTCAGACGTCAGCAAAGTTTAGTGAATTGCTGTGAATTGGCTGAGAAAAATGAAATCTGACTGAGAATAATTCTTCGTCGAATTTCCTTTTCAAATTCCTAAATTATTTTACATAAGATTCGCTCATTCTTTCATCTAGATTTCCTTTGTTTGGTTTTCTTCTTCTTTTTTCTTCTATCCTAATATTCTCATATACTAGTTTTTTTTGGCTCCTCAGTACGTTCCGCTCATCTCAGATTTCCGTTCTCCCACGTCTTTTCGAAACTGATGCTCGCTGACATTTTACATGTCCTACTAGTTTCAAGAGATGATACTATTCTCGTCAATAACAATTCTACGTATCAAGCGAGACTCTTATTTTTGTCTAGTTCTTCAAAATCGGAAGGGGGTATGATGATATCCGTAGGCGCTGCCAAATAGAAGACACTTTTCAATTCCCGGTTCATTCATAATTATTTTCCTGCTTTTGTACCCACTCATCCCTCATGCGTTCCGTTTTTTTTCAGAGTGACGTCTTCTGCTTCTTCTTCTTTTTTTGTCTTTTCCCCCATCTGTCAAAAATACGTCATTCTTCGGTAACGTAGCATCGCTGAAACATCTTTTCACCCAATCAAATATTCATCGAAGCTAACGCTTTCATGTAGGTTTTCAATATCTTCATTCTTTGTTCTTTTTCTTCTTCTTTCGATTCATCATCTGTCTTCCAAAAAAAAAAGAGACAATTGTGTTTTGTGAATGTCATCTACGAAATTAATAATCAACTGAATAACATTGACACACAATTTTGTGAATCTATCTCTGACGTTTTTCGAAGGTTCGAGATATCGAAAGGATACAAAACTATCGTGGTTATGTACCTTTTGATGTTATATGTGGATAGCGTGAGGTTCAGACCAGAACCTGAAGAAACTGAATCTGAATTGGTTCTAGGTTGGATTCAATGAAAATTCAAATAAATTTATGTTACTGACCCTTTCGGGTTGGTTCCGGAATATCCGAAATAAGTTTTTCCAAGAAAGAGAATCCGGAATACGCAATCCGGACAAAAATATATTTCATGGTATCCGAAATCTGAAATCCGGAATCTGGAATCTTAAATCTGTAATCTGGAATCTGGAATCTGGAATCTGGAATCTGGAATCTGGAATCTGGAATCTGGAAATTGTCTCATTTTACAGGTGTTGATAACAAACAAGGTTTTGAACCCAACTTCTAATGGGCTCCTCATTCTGAAGTTTTTCGAAGAGCTTGAAAATAAAAATAAGTGTATTGATCCATTCAAAATTCAGCTGAAATTCAATTGCTAGTTTTTCCCTTCCAAGGTACTATTAAATGTCTCAAAATCCAACAAAACCAACAAAATGAAAACATGTGATATGTTTCTTTTAGTTTATGTCAGCTTGACATCTCTAAACTCGCAATTAGGTCGTTTTTCAATTATCAAATCCTCCCACGACTTCTCTCACGTGTTCCTTCTATTATCCTTTTCATCCTGCCAATCTCATTGATGTTTGTTCTCCTTCCGCTTTTTTTTTCCTCAATGACTCTTCCTTCCATTCTTTTTTTTCCACAAAATGTTCACACATCATTCTCCTCCAGTAGAATTAAATTCAGTGATATCAGTTGGAAGAACCCCCTGCTCGTCGACTTTTGCCCCGATATCAGTTGTGTTTTCACCGATTTGCCACTTTTATTTTCTGGAGAATTGTCTTCAGACACTGTCTCCTCTCCGAGTAAAATGACAACAAATCAGATCATAATCCGCTTTTAACGATAAAAAAGGTCACGTGTTTTCCCTTTCAAAGACGGCTGTTCCTCATGTACTTTGTAACAACTGACGTCTATTTTGACCCAGTTTTCAGCCACCCATCCAGCAAAGCAAAGGATCAGTGCATTTACTGAAATGATATTCAAAGTCAGATCGGATTAATTCTATTCGGTTTTAAGGATTTAAATCCCTGTTCTGTGATAGGTGGTCGCTGTTTTCTTCCTCATTTTCAATGAAATCAAATCGGATGGAAGAAAATGACAAACGACGATAAATGCTGTCAATCATTTGCCAAATTGATTCTGATTTCTAGATGACGAGAGGAAATCGGTGGGGGAGTGTGATTTGAAACAGAAAATTGTTGGGTCAAGGTTGCTGTAGAGTTATCTGGAATTCCGTTGGAGGCACTGCAACTTCTTCGCAAGAAATTTCTATTTTGAAAACTGGACACATAAGCTACCGTAATCCGAGTTATTTACAAGTGTGTGCGTGCGTATTACTACGGCTGATTCAAATTGTATATCAGAATTTTTTGCCGATAAAAAGCTGCAAGACAGGCATTTTTTGTTCCCACTACGTGAATCGAGTAAAGAGTATTTTCCAGAAAATGTTCGTCTCTCTCGAGGAGACCTCAGGTGACACTCTTTGTTAGGTGTAGAGCAAAGTAAATTCAGGAACTCTGTATGTTAAAACGTTTCTTGTTGGAGCTTTGGAAACCCCTTTCCTTGCTTTATACTGGTCTAACCTCCCACACTGGTTGATTCATGAAATAAACTTCTGCTAAATGTCAGTTCTTCCTCTCTTAAGGAAGATACAGATGCTGATTAGAAGATGCTTCCGCAAATAGGACGTTTCTGACATGTCATCTGATTCTAGCCGTTCGAGGAAGAACTAGCCCGGCGACTGTTACTTCTCAAACTGCTTATGATTGCTAATCTTTTCGTTGAATTTGATCCATTTTCAGCAGGATTCAAATCAAACCGAAAAACTCCTACAAATCCTCTCTCTCTTTTCTTGTTATTAGTTATTATATTTCTTCTTTTTTTTTCTTTTCATTCTTCTACTACCAGGAAGTCATTTCCTCTCTCTTCTCGTGTTCTGATTTTTCGATCCCCTCATCACTCGCACGCCAATTGACCATTCGCGGCTGCTGCTGCTCTCATTTTGTTTCTTTCTCTCCCGATTCGAGGAAAACCTGTCCCCTCGTGACACTGTATCACCTCTTTCGGCCACTCGTTTTTTTCTTGATAACTGATACTGCGCGATTCCGCAATTTCGCCTCACGCTCCCCATTTCCTTATCAAGAACTATTGAGAAAAACTAGAAAGTGGGTATATTTGATGACGGTGTAATTGTGCAACACTTGGCCTGCGCCGCCTGCTATTAAAACACTTTTATTCATTTCCTTGATTTAGGCACTTTCTCCGAATACTTTCGATTTCATTTCGCTCTCTATTTTTGGCTCTAGTATTCTTATTCTTCCTCTTCCTTTTTTCGTCGCTTCTGTTCTTCTCAAGCTCCGCCCTTTTCATTTTCCAAAAAAACATCTACCTATTTACTCTTCGACTTCTTCTTCTTCTTCTTCGTTTTGTTCATCTTCTTTTATTTTTTCTTATTCGTTCATTTTTCTGTCCCGCCTATTTTTTCTCATTTTGCATTTTCTCTCCTCCTCCATTGCCATTTAATATTATTGAAGTTTCAGAGTAATATAGCCAGTGTTGGTGCTCAACGAGAAATGTCACCCACTCTAAATTGTGTTTCTCTTCTCTTGGTTTCATTTATCCTTCCTGTTGTATTCTGTCACGAACCAGAGGATTATAGACCTGAAGAAGGTCTAACGGGGCACAATGGCGTCTTCCAGGTAAGTGTCACGAGCTCGTTTTCCTCTAAAAATAGAATCTATATTTAGAATGAGATTACTGTATGTGAGCGTGGGGAATACGCGATTCAATTGAATGACTTAGATATTTGATATTCTGTGACGCTATTTTGTTGTTTTCTTGCAAGTGCTTCTAATTCGGAAACCCTCCATCTTTTTTAAAACTTCAAAATTAGCTTTCAAAAATCAGTCATAGAAATAGGAACAAGATATATATTTGCGGGTTACAGTAACCAGGATTCAAACTTACTTCTTATGAGTGATATTTCCAGGTACTGCCATGGACAAAATACGAACTCTCACTCATCTCGTCTCTTCATGCAACTGCCAACTATCCGGAAGTCATGAAAATGGTTCGAGACAAGCTTCTGATCTCTGACTTAGCGCCAAATGATAGACGAAAGATTGAGAGAATGTTGAAAAGTCTCCGACCGCCACCAGTTTTCAATGACTTCTTAAATGAGGGAGAGGCTGATCAGGTAACCAATGAAGATTCACCAATACATCGTTCAATTTCTGCTTCTTCAGGTCAGGAAAGCTCACAGTGAAAAGAATGTAGAAGGTGTTCTGGAAGTGATCTCTAAGAAACTTGAATACCTGCCAGACTTCTTACGAGATCAAGCGATGACTTATCTTGCAAAGCATACACCAACCATTCAACCTCCAGAACTTCTATAAATATCCTTCAATGTAATTATCCATGTATAGCCATTTGTACTTAAACCCTCAAATCACCCGTCTCACTTTTAAATACCCTTACTAATTCTGCAGTTTCGTCCAAATGCTTGCTTAGCAACGGGTTAGAAGATATAATTTTAAATTTTAAACCCATTTAGATATCTCCTTTTCAAACAACCCGCCACTCTATCTATCCGATTCTCTTCTACATATGTATCATACACACTGCGCCCCAAATCAGATTGATCTGTTCAAACAATTCGATATCCCAGCTAATTCGATCTCAAAAATTCTTCACCGCTGTACATTCTCTCTTTGTCATCTGCCCCCCCCCAATCCTCCTATTTTTTCTTTCTGATCCCCACCCCAACTGTGTTCAGTTTTCAGAATGAAATCTTGTTTTGTGAATTGACACCAACTTAGTCTTTTATTTTTTTTTTCAATTTCACAATGAGACAGACTCGTCGAGGTTATCAGCCATTCAGCACACTCTGTGGGCGGTCATCGGAATTATTGAACTTTCAAATGGTAGACAGAGAAAAGGAAGAAGACTCGATAAAGGAAAGAGAAAGTGAACTTTGAATGGGAATTTGAATTCTTAATCATTTGTACTTTAATTTGAGAAAACAAAAATTGTATCAACAATAAATTAGCGTTCCTGGACCATACGATTGTCCTATTCAATGATCCAAAGGGTCTGGAAAAGAAAAAAACCATTTCTATCGTCTGGGCTTCCACGTCATCTGAATTTTTATCTTAAATCTTCACAAAAGTGGATTTCAAAGGGACTCCGACTAAATGTTTTATTGCATAAAAATGTTTCAAAAAGTACTTATTTTCTTAAATTATATTGCAAAAAAAATGTTTTTGAAGTTCGAAATCTCAGAAAAAAGGTCGTTGAAAGTTTTTTAAAAGATCGCATAGGGACTAGTTTTCAAATTCCCGCGCAGTGAGAAACTTAGGCCACGGCGGCGGGAGGCCTTTTTCACATGACGGGTTTTCAGGATTTTCTCCGATTTCATCGACAAGTAAAAAAACAGAAAAAAAACGCGATCGGCCACTTAAAAGATGGCTTGCCGCCGTGGCCTAAGTTTCTCGCTACGCGGGAATTCAAATACTCGTCCCTATCGGCCTCCTTTTTAGCAAGATTTTTACTGTGGACGTTTTTCAAGGAGTCCGGATTTTTTTTGCAATAATATTAGGAAAATACATCTTTTCGAACATTTCAATACAATACAAATTTTGATGGGCGTCCCCTTTGAATGTGTTTTTGAGCAGCAATATTATAGAAATTGACCGAGATTTCAGAATGATAATTGATCAAATCTTCTTGAAAATTCCATGTGAAATTCCTCTTCTAGGTCGTGGAAATCCCTTTGGAATGTTTTCTTCTCTTGGCGATTTTTTTTGGGATCAAAAATTGAAAGTTCTAACGATCGAAACGAAGCGATGCGAAGAGGGAATACTTTAAAATCCAAGGTGATACCGATGTAATAGTAAAGCTAGAGAAAGAAAAAAACACTTTCATGTAGAAAAAACCGACCTGGAGAGTCCCCACGTCAGTTGGCTTGGATGGGAAGGATAACCCAAAAAATCGGATGTTGAGAATCTTTCAAAGTTAAAAAATTGAAATGTAATGGAATGGTAAAACTCTGTGATACATTTGTATAACTCGGTGAATGTTCAATAAAAATTGGATCTATCTGGATAGGGAAGCACATTTTTCCATGCTCCGAATCTAATCTAAAACTGACCCGTTCAAGTTTTCCATCCTAGTTTTTTTTTTAATTATAACGCATCATTTCTCAACAAAAAAAGGATATATATATTTTTCTTGACTCTCCTTATGGCTATCGCTGTTCAACCTACATCGATCTACTTCCAGGTGGATATCAGTTGCCAAATATTCACTAACTGGTGTGTCAGTTTGAAAGTTATTGAACTCGACACATTGTGAGTCTGTATCCATGTTTTCTACCAAAAACATGCTCTCCAGTTTCCCAAACACAGCTGTCGTGACCGTTGGTCCAAAGTGTCTCGATCATCGAGGCACAATCGCTTTAAATACAAACGGAGAGATCGCAGGAGACGGATGGTTTGGTGTGAGTTTTCAAAGGTCAACTATACATTCCTTCGTTTTTTCTTTCTCAACACAAAGCACAAAAAAATTCTGGAATGTTCTAGAATCGCTTCGAATTCATGGGGGAAGTGACACACAATTGCACAAGAAAAGGAGAAACGTTGATGTTTCACAGGAGACTAGGATACTATCCTGATCATTTGAAGTGAGAATTGTTGGGAAAATCTGAGAATTTGCGGATTTTTTTCAGAGCGATTCGAAGAAAGTTTCGAGTGGAAGTCAATGAAAAAGGAGTGAATCAGTGACCTGTTTGTTTTAACTGTTAATTATATCAGTGATGATAATAATAAATTTGTGTCAGCATTTTTCATTTCATGAAAAAAACAATTATTTTCAGTTTAATAAAATAATAGTTTTGTTTCTGGTATTCTCGTGTTTCCTTGTATTTTGTTCCGATGGAATGCAGACACCACTGAACAGCAAATCAGTAGTTCAATTAAGAGATTTTTCGTTGATACTTATGCCTTTTTACTACGGTATATAAATCTGAGAGTCCGAGCAAATTTTCAAGACGTTCCGAAAAGTAAAGCATCATGTTTTTGCCTCTTCGGAACATCCTGATGTTACGGAACAAATTTCAAGCTGATTAGGGATTTTCTGATCCTCAGGTTCAAAAAATATTAGTCACTATTTTAACACAAAGATCTTGAGTTTGAACACTTCAAAGTTTGTTTTTGAGTTTGCTTAGTTTTTGCATCACTTTTGCTTTCAATATTTTTTCAGTTTTCATTTACTGAATTCATGTTAGCAATCGACAGAAACTTTGTTCAAGGAAATCACGTGGTTGTTGATGATTGATACCTGAATGGGAAAATGAAAATTTCTAGAAAACACATTCCTGCCAATTGACAGTCTTTACAACACAAACAGTTAATGGGACAACATACACTTGCACTTATTTTCAACACTTTCCCACACGTAGAATATAAGTTCATGAAACAATTTTATCAGAACTGATTCCCATTTTCAAGAGAGGGACCACCTGCGAATTTCGAAATTTTTGAAAGCGGGGGGACATGAAAAAAGAACTGTCTTGGAATTTCGTTTTTATATGCCTGTCAAGGAGTTGAACTTGTGGGACGAGTGGGAAAGGGCGCTGCCTGGGTTTTTACAGTTTGATCACTTTCTACCAAAAGCAATTAAAACATTCAATAAAGGTAACTTTAATAAAACTGGAAATGCAAATTTTGATTGACACACAAATTTGAAGCTGACATGTCAGCACTCAATCGAGTTACGACCGGTCAAGAGTCATCGCCTGTCAAAATTCTTCCAGTCAAACGTGCTGAGCACCTAGGAACTATGCTTCTGAATGACATTTTTCAGAGCAAGGTTCTTATTTTGCAGAAAAAAATATTTCAAATGGTCAATGTTTTTTTCCCATTCAACAGGAACCCCTTGGGAATTCGGGATGGTTTGGAACAAACTTTTCTGGAATGTTCTATTCAAGGTTTTTGCTCATAATAATTTTTGCTCATAATATACAGAAACATTTCGGGAAAAGAAAGAGAATACCTAAACCTGAAAGTTTACGGAACCCAATTATCAAGTGAATTGTTTTTTTCAGATTTTGCAGGATCACAAAATGAAGAGCTGATGACGTAACAGAGCTGGAAAGTTCTAGACCAATACATTTTGCCTTGATATTACGACTGCCTTATCATTTCTTTTCTCCGTTTTCTCTTTTGATTCTCTAGACTGATAAGCTCTCCATGAGTGAACTTTAGACTGAAAACTGCACTTTTGAACCAACTGTGTTTGATTGTAAAAAAACAAAAAATGGTACAGAAAAGAACACAGAGCCAAGCATACATTCCAAGTGAGAGAGATCTTTAATAATTTTATTCATGCACTATAAAAAAGAAGGCGTCCCATCTATCAAATGGGTCGTTCGCTCCCCCTTCTTTCTCTCCTCTCTTAGTACATTCGGTCCTCCGCACATTTTCTTCTTCTGGCGCCCGCTCCTTTGCTCCATCCCTCTTTCATTCTATTCCTCGGTCGCCCTATCTATCGTTTGGATCTCTGTCTTCACCCCGCTCCATCGTCGTTCCCAATTGACTGATCGGTTCCTCAACCACAAAAAACCAACCGCTTCTTCCAAAAAAACGTGCGTCTCGCAACGTTTCGGTGCACTGAGACATCACTTCGTCCCTGGTACGCATTTAAAAAAGAGTGAAAAGGGAGTTGAAGCGGACGAAGCGGCACACTTGCGGAACATTCTTCTGCCCCCCTTCGCCTGTCTCCGGTGGCAGACAGAAAAACGAAAGAGAGCAATTCTTTGCCGTTTCAACCATCTCACTCTTTCGACCACCGCGTACTGACCCTAGACACCGCCGCCACCACCACCTGCAGACATCATGAGAAGGCCACACGTTCCACACCCTTCATCACTTCTCTGCTTGTTGCTTCTGCCTCTGGCTGTTCTAGAAGCAGCTGTCTTTGAACACAATCCGACTCACTTTCGGATTAGTGGAGTACTATCATGTCCCCATAGACGATCTACTTACTGGTGTTTTAAAGTTTACCTTTATGAATATGATACATTGTAAGTTCAAATTTATGTTCTACAACTGAAAATTCTACAGTAGTCCTTTCAGAGATAAGGATGAAATAGCAAGTTTTGGAGTCAGATGCACGGATCAAGAAAGTTTAACTTATAACCTCAACGGGTACGATGACAGTGACGGGCCAGGAGATGTGAGTTTTATTATAAGCACATTTGAAAAATTAGGGCCAGGTCCGCGGATCGGGTCCAGATTTTTTGATTTGAAAAAATTGTCGAATTCTCAGAAGTTTCAGAAATTTTTTCGAATTTTTAAAAGAACACTTCGTTCTTGGCGAACTTATGATTTGACAATTTTTTTTTTAATGGACCCCGAAGATTTTTTCAAATGATAGGAAAAAATACTGAAAACCCAGGCCTCAATGGGACCGGCCGGACCTTGAATTTTCTGAAAAAAAACCAAGAACTTGTCAAATATTTTGGAAACACCAATTCCCTAGAAAACTTTCAACTGTCAATCAACCTTGAATATGTCCTTTATCTTTTGATAAAAATTTTGACAACCAATTTTCCACAAAAAATTGCACCGTTAAATTTTTATAATACTGACTTACATTTTGATCACGATACGGAAAACATGAAACGATAATTTTGATTGGAAAGAAACCTAGGGAAAACTAAAAACTGTTCCTATTGTAACCGCAAGGAGCTACAATGATTGTCAGTGATTCTATTTTATCATTTTGCTGACCACCAGAGCAAAGCACATTACAATTTGTCAACTCGGAAATTTCTTCAAAAATTGAAAAGTTTCAAGTTTCATGTCTCGCGAATGTGATCTCTGAGGTATTAGAGAAATGCTTCGAACTAGTTTCTAAAAGTTCAAAAACATAATTAACTGTATCAATTAGGGATAGTTTCAGAAATGTTTTCACTTTACTTAGTTAAAATTTGAGGGTCTGATAGAGACGTGCGGATTCCGTATTTCATATTCTGGATTGCGAGAAAACAATTTTTCTGGAATTTCCGTCAATATGCAAATCTGTAAGAGTCTTTTGTCACGAGAATGATTTTGAACTTCTGCTACTAATAATGAAAAAATATAGCAGCAGATATATTTTTAGAATTTTTCTGCACACCGAAGATGTGCGAATTCCGAATTCCCTGAATTTTTTTATATTTGTGTGGGTTCTAAATTCCCGATTTCTAGAGAATTACTTCATTCCTGGCTCCGTTTCTCGAAAAAGTCGTTCTGGACATCTCTAGTGTCTAACTAAAATTTTGAAACACCCATCAAACTTTTCCCAGCTAGCTTTTCTGAATTCCATTTTTACAGAATTATTACGAGCTATTTTTATGGGTCTACCACAACTGTTCGTTACATGGAAACATTTTCCAAGAAGTGCATAATTTGTCTACAGTTGCGATTACAGAGAAGTGAGTTTTTTCTTCCCGAATCATGATAATCTGAATTTTTAGAGACGTCGTACGGATACGAAACTATAATGTGTCGGTGAAAGGAAAACGGGTTGATGGTTGGGACCAGTAACTTTTTTTACGGAAAATAAATCGTTTTTTCTCTGCTCTTTTTTTGTACTTTCAATAGGTCTTCCCATTTTTGAAACACTCGGAGAATGGAGAAGAGGAAGCATACATATTTCAATGGGGAATGTTTCAAAGTGCACGATGCTTTGGAGGATTCATCTTCTTTTGTTTCACTGACAGCCGTTTTTTTTTCTGTCTGTGAAAAAAAGAGAGATAGAAGGAACGAAAATAGAATGAGATGGAGCAGAAGAGAGATAGAACTGAATGATAGATGTCCGTATTTTTTTTTGAGAGAAAAAAGAAAGAGAACATTGAGAGAGTTGATTGGAGAGCAGAGGAATTCGTAGAACAAAACAAAAGGGAACATGTTTATTATTGTTGACCAGTCAAGGGTGATTCTCCTTTATCACTTCCAACACTTTTCTCGTTTGGCAACATTAGTTCTAACATTAAGTCATCAATAGAGGCAAGACCAAAGAGCTTTGCCAGTTGAACATCTTCCACAAGATCTCTTGATATTGCTAGCATAGGAGGTAGTAGGAGAAGAAGATTCGCGAATCGAAGTGGCATATCTTTGTGTGGGGAACTGAATCGTACGTGACGTTCGAAGGCTTCCAGGATCTGGAAAAATAGGGATTCTCTAGGAATTCAAAGGTTCGAGCAAATTTGGGAATCTGAATTCTAGTACAATAACAATTCAGAAAACAGAGGGTGTATTTTCAGATTGGAGTTAGCATAACAGTTTAGGTTCTACAAGAACAATTTCACATGCGAAACAGTAGCCAAGCTTTGTCAAGTCTGAGCTCGATCATCTCAATTCCTATGCAAGCTATCAGAAATGTGTCAAAGGACAAAAACATTCTGATATTATGATGAACAGTTTATCAATTGCCAATTTTTTCATATCTTTGTACAGAAACCAAAAAATTGACTCATAATTAAAAGTTACACGCCCTTCTATTACAGGTTTTACATTATGCCGTTTTTAGAAGAACTATTTTCAAGAAAGTTTCGTCTTGGGTGTAAGTTATGTACAAAATACTTCCAATTTAAAAAAAATTAGCAAATTCACCTTTCACCTATAATTTACTTTTTGTTTTTTTTTCTATTTCTCAAGTTTTCACCAGTTCTCTTGAATAGCAAAAACTTACCTTCTGTCGCATGTCTTCCACATCACCATGGGATTCACTCGAAATTCCTTTTGCCACTGAAATTTACTGTAGGAAGACGAAGTAAAAAACACATCAAAAACTCACATGGATCAAAAAAGGTTATTGCTTTTAAAGCAATGTACTCAATTTCACTCATATGTAACTGTCTCATTGGTGTTGTCACTTGATCGATGATTCGTTCTGCGACACGGCTGGAATAATTCACTTTTTTGTTTTATAATTTGGGAATAGAAAGATCAGGTTGAAGCTTGATTTATCAACACTATGAAAAACGAAATTTAGAAAGAAGCAATTTTAACAATATGAAAACTAGAAACATGGATGACACCTGCTTCCTTTTTAGACACGGTTGGTTTTCAAGCTGATTAATACGCATACCGTAATAACTTTGAGCTCATATATCACACTTCCTGTGAAAGATATCAGAAACTGATCAACTGACAAAATGTTTACCATAATGTCAGAAATATTTTGTCAGTTTACCACTTTTTGATATCATTCACAAGAACTGAGATATATGCATTCAAACTTAACTGTTTGAGATGCAATCTATTAGGATCTACGGTATATTCAAGAAGTTTTTGTGAGATAAAGAAAACGTACTTCATATCTGGGATCTTCGGACTATCCTTGTGTAAGCATGTTTCATTTGTTAACCACACAGCATCTGATAAATGAATGCTTCGAAAAGCTGCACACATTACCAGATGTTGTGCTGAGAAGTGTCTGAGAAGAGCCGCCTGAGTAATGCAATCCACTCTAATAAACCCTTCCAGCATTTTTGCCCATTCGACCATCAGTCTCAATTGTTGATTCATACTATCTGTTACATCTACAGTTGTCGCCTGTTTCCGTGCTTCTGATGTTTTTGTGATCACTGTTGTTCTGAAAATTGTTTTGAATTGTTTTGAGTATATCGTTTCTAGTTACCGTAATCCTCGGGTTGCCTGTTCAGCTCTCTGGAGTGTCTCCAATAAAGGATCTTCAGTAAGTTTTCCATTTAAAAATACATTCAGAGGTCTTATCCTATCTCGTTCTGTCTGTACAGCATCTCTTTTCATTCCTTTTCGAATACATACATCAAATCGACATTTTCTGCATGAGTTCCGTTTCGCTGAAAAGAAAATCATAAATGGGAAATTGTATCTTTCCATTTGGAAAGTCCCTTTTTTCAACTCGTAGTTATGTCTACAAGATAGCATTTTGGTGAGATGATTGAATACAAACTTCTCTGAACCTCTCGTTATTCCGCGATATTTCGATGCGGGTCAAGAGGATTATGAAAAAAAAAAGATGTGCGGTGCGTACCGAAAATACAAATACACAGAATAATATATCGAGGGGAAGAAGCGCGGAAGAAGAAACGGAATAATAAGAAGAAGAATTATCAGACGGCAGTGCAAATATTAGAAAATTGTTTGTGTTTTGAGCAGACAGTTCTCCTGAAAAGGAAACATAAATCACCTTTGTCCACTTGGCACTTTTCCCCGAAACGACACACGTAAGAATGGTGTTTCCGAATCGTTCGTCGGAAGAAACCTGAAAATTGAATCGGTGTTTTTTTCATAAAATTGAATCGGTGTTTTTTTCATAAAAAGTAAAATATTGTTTGGTTCTCATCCTTTTCCGGTTTACCAGATCCAAAGTAAACTTTTAAATTTTGATTAGATCTGTTTATTTTTTTGAAATCACCTATTTTTAAATAATTTAGTTTTCTCTACTTTTAAGATCTCCAGAAGTAGTTGATAACAGTTTTCCAAGCTAATGTTCAATCCTTCTTATAATACATAAAGGCCCCTTCTTCTTTACTTCTTTCATTTTCATTCCTTTTTCTAGATGAAAAATCTGCCAGGCCCGGTTTGATCTGTCTTAAACTGTTGGATCTGGCAGGTTTGAATCACAATTAGAAAACTGTGTAAAGCTGAGCAGCGAAATCGCGCCGTAGGCGCACCAGATAAGCGTTTAAAGAGCTGCGGGACATTTCGAGAAAGGTTCCAGACTGTGAAAATAATTTTAGGGGTTTCTCTGATAGAACACATTCTGGAATTCAAAAAATTCCAAAATTTAATTGATTTTTTTGTCAATTTTGAATTTCAGAACATTTTAACCAGGAAAAGCATATTTGAAAACTTTAAAGTTATTTTTGTAGTCTGAAGCTTTTTCTTTCATCTGTATTATCACGGTGGTGAAATGTCCGGTGGCGAAACGCCCCGGAGACCCAACAGGCTGGATGTAATAATCTCTAAAAGTTAGGAAGAATTGGAAAGCACGGTTATTTGTTTGTATCAAAGAATATACAAACTTTTTATTGTGTTCTATGCTTGGCATTGTAGGATGCCCTATTTTCCTTGAAATCTAGACGACTATTTATTTTTCAGAATCTCACAGGACCAAGTATACGGAATATAGATAACACTATTAATTGAAAATGTCTTTAGATTGCTCTTGATAACTGTTTTGAAGTACTCGTTTTGCCAACAGGATGCTCTATCTTTTTTGGGCGAAATATGATCCCTGGATTCAATAGTGTTTTTGGGTGAAAAGGAAAAAGAAAGAAAACGAAACCCCCACTCGAAAAGAATGCTGGTTTCACAAGCCCCTTCTTCTTCTCTTTTTCCCTTTCACTTCATTTACTATGTGCCATAACGCATTAGTGCATTGTTTAGAAGGATTCTTTATGGTAGAAAGCAGATGTGTCACGCCACATCTCTCCATTTTTTTGTCTTGTTTTCACCCAGTTCCAGTTTATATTTTCTGCTTAAAATTACCTTTGCATCCATCACAACTCAGTGCTCCATAATGTTTTCCAGTCGCTTTGTCACCACAAATAGCACAAAAAACGTTCTCGAATGAGTTTGGACTTTGACTAGTTGACGATGTTGCAGGTTCTTCTTTATCCACCGGTGTCATATTGTCTTCGTCTGAAAATTTATCTTATCATAAAGACTAGAAAGAGTTATCTTCGAAATTAGTGTACTTTCTTGGTCATTACAAATCAATGAGTGGGTAGTTAAAAAAATGTATCCGTTAGAAACAATATCAAAGAAGAGAAAAAGAAAACTGATAGTGGCTGGCTAACTTGAATTTTCAAGTTCCAGTAGTTTTTCTACGATAGTTTTCCAATGGTAAAGAAACAAATATGGAAAGGCAACGAAGGAAACGAAAAAAAATGCACCTGCTGTCAGAGTCAATAACGGATTTTGAAATGAAACTTAGCTTATATGCTTTGAAACCTTTTTCTATCTATTTTCGTCTCTGGGATTTTTTTTTCAAATTGCAAGAATGGAGTAACTGAAGCTGAAAAATAGAGGAACTAAAAAATAAGTTAGGATAGGTTTGAGATATTATGAATTTTACTCGACAATGTGAGCAAATGATATCGTAGACTGTAATAGGAACTTTAGAGGAACAAAGAAAAGAAGAAGAAGAATAGTCATTGAAAAACGTGCCACGAGGTGGTCGAATGACGGCTGACTGATCGATAGATAAGGTCTTGTTATGGTTTTATCGGAAATATTCTTGGGCACAATACAAACATTCTAACTTACACATCTGAATTGCAATTTTGAGGTTACTGTAGTGCTAAATATCCAAAAAGAGAACACAGTGTTGTGGCCTAGAATTCAAGAGCGTGTAGTCCGAGTGGAAAACTTTTTGTGGCGCCGCGATGATTTTTTCGGTTCAAATACCTTTTTTCTCTCGGTTTTTTCTCACAGTTAAACAGGGAATTTTCAGTTTCCGTTGTTTTTTTTTGCAGTTTCTTGCCGATGTTAAAATTAGAAAATTAGTAGTATTATAAAAAACGTCGTAGAAGAATTGCATTGTTTCTCTCTTATGATGTGTCGTCTTAACGATATATTCACCCGTCCTCCTGCGTCTCGAAGAGTAGTTCATCACCGCATTGATTTTTTGTCTCCTTCCTATCCAGTTAGCTGATCAATACCACGTTTTATTGCAAACGCAAGATCTTCATGCGGTTTCTATGAAAGCGAAGGGAAACTTGAGAAGCGCATGAAAAATTTTCTTGGTCAGGAACAGGAAGTGTTCAAAAGCTTTTAGCAGCCGTATTTTAATGGATATAATTTATATGACCGAAAATAATCTACGGAATAGACCGTATCTAAATCGACAGATGTTCCTCCGGATGTCTCATTGACCTTTAATTATTACCGGGGCGCTGTGGCCCTCAGAAGGCTTCACTCACCTGCTTCCGTCATCGCTGCCGTCCTTGTGTTAGTCGTCTTCAGTTCACAGCTGCTGTCTCTCCGTCTCTTATTTAGCGCTCGAGTGACGTCTCACCTGTTGCCTGCAAACCTCCCCGACAGCCTGCACTCTTCGTTGTCTTTCTCTCTCTCAACCGCTTTGTAGTTTTTTTGTCGACTAAATTCCCTGTTACTCCCAAACGAACATTTGCTGCCAAGTTTTTAACCAATCGTTCTTCTACAGAAAAATTCACAACTGCAAGGCCAAATTTGAGCACTATTAAAACTCTCAATTTAGCAGGTCGAAAGAACAATTGTCACATCGCACCCAAAAAGTCCTTCTGATTTTTGAACTAAATAAGGCCGAACAGTATATGTGCCGTTCCGAATTGTTTTTGTAGGAGACCGCGCAACCTCCATTTGCTTCTTCTTTAAACGTTTAGTTAGTTTTTTCTACAGATTTACAAATCCTCTTTTTCGTTAGATAAAATGACATTTCTCTGACAGAATCTCTTTGACGAGTGTTGTAAGCTGAGATGGAAAATAATGCCCGAAAACCTTGCCAGAACGAGAAAGTCGATGCCGATTGAATCGAATCCTTTTATAGCTTCGTTTCTTTTTGAATCACCTTCTTCGTAGTAAACGAAAAATATATGCATGAAAATGTGGTCCAAGATATGGCTGAGGTCTTCAAAGAATTGCTAATAAACCTAGCATCTGACTATGTTCACTTCTCTACTTGTTTTTCCGAGGTCCATTGTTTGGGTCAGCAAAAGAGAAAATATAAAGAACCTTCGCCCATGAAAATTTAATCCACTTTGACGAGTGGATGGATTGAGGCCATGGACACTACTGGTTTACCCCGGTTTATTGACTAGGTGAATTTTCAAGTACAAGAGTTGGGAAATGTGTAGTTCAAAGTCAAATCACACCACTCATCCAATTGATCTACTTCGCTGCATTGTAAATAAGACACATATGACCGATGCGAACTAATCGAATATACTTGATTGGCCAGTTATCTCTTTCTGCACATTCGTTTTTCAACTTTCGTTCGCTTTACTCTTCTCTCAAAGTTTTCGTAAACTGATACTAGTTATGCGATCACTGCGGCAATTCATTCCATCTTGACTTCTTGAGTTGTCTCTCACATCAAAATAAATTCCGTCCTTTCCATTTGCCTTTTTATGACTCACATGTTCCCTGCATGAATATTCTGTGTTATTCAATGTCTTTACCGCTTGTTCATTTTTTAAACTTTTGTTCCCTCCTTGTTTCACAAGTAAATAGTAACTGTGGTCTTACTCCAGTAACAATTGTCAAATATTTGACAGCTTGTCCTCATTTTCTTCCTGGAAAACAAGCCAATTAGCCTGTTCTGTCTACTCTAAACATCTACGCAACCTACTTTTACGATATGTTATGACAACGCCAGACTCGGCAATAACACGGAAAACGATATTCTAAATTTTTGTGGCAAAAGTGCGTTTTACGTTTTGAGACAGAGTTTTTATGGGTCTCCGTATTCTTTTTATCTCTGCAGTCTCTCCCTAGCGCGTACTGGTTTCGTAATCTGTCTCGATTCTCTCTCGCATGCCCAGTGTTTCCTCGAATGATTGAGTTCACTTTCATCATCTCTAGCATTCGTTTCCCGAAACGCAAGTATTATTATCTTTCTTCAGGGCAAAACATGGACAAGGTGGAGCAATTGAACCTGAATCTACAGAATATTCTTGATGACGTCGACATAGATTCAGCTGAGAGCTCATTAGATGATGAAGAAGTGACGAAACAAGGTAGGGTAGGAACATCATTATTTGAAAGAAAAGCTTTAAAAATCATCTATTTTTCAGAAGAATCTATTGAAAACAGAAATACAGAAGAGCCAGATTATAGTGAATCCGATTACGAAGACGACGAAGACATTGTTGATTTCGCGGAGGCTACAGGGGGTGAGCCTCGTTTTGGAGTTGTGCAAAAGCGAATGTTGTTCTTCAGATTTCACAAAAAAGCTCAACGCAGCTCGTTCAAATGCCATTGGCCCGAATGCAGCTCGTAATAGACTCACAGGTGAGCTTATACTGAATATATTTCTGAATTTGTACACAATATTGTTTCTAGTTGATGTGGAAAGACATGCGGATACAAGTGAAGATAGGAAACGCAAGCGAGTGAAGGATCGAGCAGATCGTGCAACTGTAGAACAAGTTCTGGATCCGAGAACTCGTTTGGTTCTTTTCCGTTTACTTCAACGGGGAACTCTGCTCAACATTGATGGTTGTATTTCAACTGGAAAAGAAGCTAATGTATATCATGCAACCGGAACAGAAAACGATTTGGCAGTGAAGATTTACAAAACCAGCATTCTTACATTTAAAGATCGGGAGAGATATGTTACGGGAGAGTTCAGGTATCGATATGATGCCTCTGTTTCTGCAAAACGCTCAGTTTTCAGATATCGACATGGATATTGTAAATCGAACCCTAGAAAAATGGTTGCGGTATGGGCAGAAAAGGAGATGAGGAACTTAGCAAGAATGCATGAAGTTGGGCTTCCAGTTCCGAAACCACACATGCTGAAGGGTCATGTCCTCGTAATGGACTTCCTGGGAAAAGACGGATGGCCTGCGCCTCTTCTCAAGAACGCAAATTTGAGTACAGAGGTTAGTGATGTTTCGTATATTAAATCCAGTTTTCGATTCTTATAGGAAGCAGAGCCGATGTATGTTGGATTAGTTCGAGATATGAGACGCCTATATAGAGAATGCAAATTGGTTCATGCTGATTTGAGTGAGTTCAACATGCTGGTACATGATGGAAAACTGTGGATCATCGACGTTTCTCAATCTGTGGAACAGGATCATCCTCATGCGCTCGAGTTCTTGAGAATGGATTGCAATAATGTGAACAAATTCTTCAGGCAAGTTTTCGGTTTAGACTAGGCTTTGAATTTTGAACTCTAAGCTTTTCAGAGAACTTGGCGTCAAAGTTCTATCCGTTCGTCGTTTATTCGAAGTTATTGTGGATCCATTGATGAACGTCAAGGAAATGGAAACAATTATTGACGAAGAACGCGTTGTTGTCAATTCTGAAGACGATGCTCTTTTCATGAACGCTTTCATTCCTCATAAACTAGAACACGTTCTACATTTCGAAAGAGATGGAAAACTCGCAAAAGATGGAGTTGAGGCGAATAACCCATTTCAAAATATCGTCTCAAAGATTGATCTGAAAGGCGAAGGATTCGGCGACGAAGAATGCTGCAGTGACGACGACGAAGAGAACGGAAAGAAGTCCAGAAAGAAACGAGCCGAACCAACGGCTGAAGAGATAGAAGAAAAGGAACGCAAAATTGCGATGCACACTCGAAATCGCGATGAAACGGCCGAAGAGCGAAAATTGAGAAAAGCTGCTGTGAAGGAAGAAAAGCGGGATCAACGCAAGGAAAAAATTCCAAAACATGTGAAGAAGCGTGCGCATCGACAGCATATGAAGTGAATGTGGGTGAACTTTCGAAACTTTTTTATTTAATTGGTGGGAATCGCGGACTTCTCAGTGCCATGCGTATCCCCTCTCTATCATTTACCGCCAACTGCGTTCCTACAGTTAACTGTAGTTACTTTTTTCCGGAGACTCATTAGTTCAATCGAATGATGTTTGTATTAGTTCCCTTTTTTTCATCGTATAGATGGCCGGTTGGGACACGAAGACGTATCCGATCTATCTGGCATTTATCGCGTTTTTTGATCAACGTATGATTGATATTCGGTTCGTTTCCTCTCTTCTGTTCCTTTTCAACATATTAAACAGTGCGCACTTTTGCCACGTTCTCAACATTCAGAATAATTCTACAAATATGAAAAGGGAATAGAAGTCATACCAACAAGGGTGCGGTCTGAGCTATTTTCCCCTGGGAACGCCCATTTTTCATACTATACCCCCACTTCTTCCCCTTTTAACATATCCTGCCAGATATTCTTCTTTTTTTTGTAAGTCTCGATATTCTTGAAGACGCGGTTGGATGACTAAGTAGAATCTTCTTTATATTCATAGGTGATCATTTTCAGGTACTGCTCGGCTTCAGCTTATCAACTTTTTCGTTCATTTTCTATTCATTTTTTTCTTACTCTTCGGTTCCTTCTTGTTCCACTCTTCTCTCACCAGACCCCGCTATTTGCACTAATCCCGTTGACTATCAGGCAATGATTATTCGTTCACTATCAGATGACGAGCGACAATCGACCTGGGTCAGTATCAAATTATCTTGAAAAAACATTCGAGTGCTATTCTCATTTCTTCTCAATTGTCAATTTCCTGATAGTTTTAGAAAGAAGAGGTGGTTAATTTGATTCGACTGTACCAGTTTGTTTCGTTCTCCCCTCCAATCACTCTGATTTGTATTTGATTGTTGTCTCTGGCGTTCCTGTTGTTTCGTTGTGTTTTTTGTTACTTTCGATTGTTGTTCTTATAATTATAAATCGTTCTCCATAAATCATATTTTGTTGAAAATTATCTCGTCACTTCTTCCGGTTGTATTCCCGGCTCTGTTACCCTTTCTTTTCTACTCTTTTTCTTTTTTTTCTCAAATTCTTTTTTAAACAGGCTTAGCTCCCGAATTGTGTTAGACTAGTAACGACTCGAAATGGATTCAGAAGAGGTAAATCTAGGTTTTGGTAATAATGAAGTCAAGTGTTATTTCCAGGTTCGTAAAAGAAAGGAGTATGCCGAAAGAAAGGTGAAAGAGAGACATGCTGCTCTGAGGAAAGAAGCTGAAGAGAGGAGAAAGCATACAATTGAACATCGAGAAAGGTGCGTAAAGATTTATTTAGCTTAAATTTTAGTTTAAAATCCGGAAAAAAAGTTGAAATATTTTTACCGCATCTGGACACTGGCCATCTGCTTTTAGTCCTATGTAGTGCCTTCCATCCGCACCTGTCGTTGTCTAAAACGTTTCATTCACATTTCAACTCCTTGCCAGTTACAGAGTGCAGTCTGTTTTGAAGCGTGAGCAAGTGCTGCTTCAAAAACGAATGCAGCAACTCAATGAGGATGAAGAACGGAAGAAAGCGACGTTGGCCAAACAACATGAAGCAACGTCTCGCATTGCGGCTATTACGAAATCACCAAAATCCTTCGCATTTGGTTCGTCAACTCCTCGCACTCTGGCTTATTTGGACAATCTGCCGAAGAGTGAGCAACAGTACGATAAGAAGCTTCGTCCATTAGAAGATTCGAGCCACTTGACGAGTCCTACATCTACGGTTAGTCCTTTTCAGAGAAAAAATTAAATGATCTGATTTTGATTTGCGCTATAAATTCAGGAATCTTGTTTGAATCTGCATCATATTGAGGTATATTTAAGATTTGAACGAGTGTAAATCGCATAACTTCTGTGTCCAAACAAATTGCATAACTGTTCAACCTTTCCCCCAATGATAATCCATTTCAAACCCCATAAATTGCAAACTCATTTCTCTTCAGAGTTCCACAACGAAAATGGGTCGAATCACTTCAACGCCTCAACGTCCTCCACCAGCTGCGCATCGTCCGGCTCCTACAATGACATCAATGACATCTTCGATGTATGTAACGTCATCAGCTCCTCCAACTCGCCATGGAAAAACATCAATAAAATCAACCATAACCAGTACGACATCTAAGAGACTCTCGACAGGACCATCTTCAATGATGACTCAATCAGTATACACTCCAAGCCGTCCTGCTACATCATCAAGGCTCTCTCTAGGGCCAAATCCGATTCGCGGATTCACGCCAAATTCATCAAAACCGAGTCGTTAGTCGGTTGTTCATTTTTTTTTGTCAAAACAGCGTTTTTCAGATTCAGCTCGTCCAACACCTACTTCTTCCAACAACAGACGTTCTTTGGACACTAGGAAACCACCAATGTCACGAAAGTCAGTGTTAGGACATTCAGAAACTAAGAAACAAGTAAAAATGATTGTTGATGAACCTGTTATCGAAGAGCCGAAAAATGTGGTCAATGAAGAAGCTGTTATACCTGAAGCTTCTCCATTTGAAGATATTGTCGAACAAAAACCGGTGATTGAAACTGTCGAGAACTCACCACCTTCTGCGAATCTTGATGAAAATAAAGATGCAGATGAAATCAATGAGAGACGAGTTGAAACACCAGAAGTCGAAGACATTCCGCGAGAGACTGAGGATCGTGTTGAAATCCCAGAAGCTACTCAATCTGAAACTTTTGAATCTGAAGCAATGCCAAAAGTCGACGAAGAGGTCCAACAAATCAACGAAGCGGTCAATGGGGTTCGTATTTCGGAATCTGATGATGCGGATGCAGCTTCGTCGCCCGATGTTGCGATGAAACAAGAGAATGTGACCGAAGCACCAATCGATGTTTTAATTCCTGTTTCTGATCATATTGATGAGGAAACGAAGAACGTTCCTACTCCAACTATTGCATCTCTACCACTTGAAGATGCGCCAAAAACAGAATTGATCCATGAAGAGACTTCAGAATCTCACGTCGGATCATCCACCAATACTTCTCTTGCTGACGAGCTGATCAATATTGAGCTGGATCAAAATGTTTCAGAAGAAATTGTTCTTCCTCCAAAGCCAGAAGTAGAAGAATTGGTGAGAGAATAACAGTTCTTAATTTTTAACTTGTCGTCTTTCAGAAATATTCCTTTTCGGATGAACCAAGAGTTGCAGTTAGACCTGTGGAAGCTGTCAACGACCTTGTTGATGTGTTTGGAAACGATTTCATCAATCAAAACCAACCGCAACGAATTGTTCAGTTTGATGAAGACACTGACAGTGGAAAAGCGTCTCCAACTTCATCCGAAACTTCGTCAACCACCGATGAAGTGACCCCGAGAAGTGTGTTGGAAGAAGCCAAGACGGCTCCTCGTGTTCTTCCACTAGTCCGATCAGCTGAAGATATGGCTAGAAAAGAGAAAGAAGCCCGAGAAGCAGAAGAGCGTAAGAACAGGCTTGCTGCTATCCTTGCAAAGTCCAGAGGAATGGCTTCGCCTATGACGAATACGTTACCACCTACAGCAGCTGATATCAAAGGTTGGTTTGAATATGAACTTTGCTCGTAGAGTGTGACGAGGTTGAGAACGTTTTTCAAAGTTATTTTCTTTTTTTGGGAATGCGAAAAATGTTTAACCCTTTGTCGAATTCGGAATTTCTTTTCGGATTAGTTAGCATCAGTTGAGTATGTTTGAGAGAGTTCGCAATCATCTAAATCCGCCGAGTTTCAATACATCCTCGGCTCTTTTGCGATTCAGAAAATCTTTATTTATAAGCCACTTTTATCGTACGGCCCCGTAGATTCTTCACCCGTCACTTCACCGCCTACGCCGCCATCCTCACAAATGGCAGAGCAGCCGAGTTCTTCAGCAATTGCATCAACAGATGAGGCTGAGAAGGCAACAAATGGTGAGCTCGTCGTCTCTTTACCCTGGCATGTGCGTGTAGTTAACCTGTCTGTTTGTCATGCTCCTCCATTTTTATTTGCTTGAATATCAACGTTCCAAAGAACTGTGGCTGGTACAACTACAATCATGTGGCAATCGAGAGGAATTTCAGGAAATGATCTCAATATTAGTAACAAGTTGCTTAATGTAGATACAGTAACCAGACTCAATCATCTGAAATATTATTCATAACTAAGTAATCACTATTACGATATCTCTGAATGCTTCTTCTCACTTCAACGTCTGTTTCATCTTCTCCAGGCGAATTTCGTGATTTTGTTAATTGATCTATTCAGTTCTGTCTAAACTTGTTTAGCACATCCAGTCTGTGGTTTCGGATTAATGAATAGAAATATAGTACACTATTTTTTTCAATGTTTTTTTTCAGAATCTGGAAAAGCAAATGATGTCCTAGCTCGTGTGGCTGCGATGACGAATTCGTCCACATTACAAAAGATTCTGCAGCGAAAGCAGGGAAGCAACCCGTCACTTCAGGTGATTTTATTAATTTAAACACGATTAATAGTATTTTATTCAACAACGTATATTTTCCAGACATCTGAATCAACGGGAGGTGAAATCTACTAAAGCATCAAATGTTTATCTTCAATCAAGCCTTCATTCACTACTCACGGGTTTCTGTTCTATACGGTAATTTCAGAGAATTCCTAAAAAATCACTTAAAATTTGAATATTTCCAGATCTTGCCATCCAAAAGTGCATTTCGACTGTCAACATCCAGCAGTCCTCTTCATGTCAACTCGCTTTATTCCACACTTCAACCTCACCCCTCTGTTAACTTTACTGTACCACAATTCTATTTTCGTGCGCCTTATATATTGAATATGGTCGTATATTTATCGCATGCATGTGAACTAGATAATTGTTGCTTTATTCCTTTTTTCAGTTGTTAAGTGATGTTTTGTATCTTTTCTTTAGTCTGAGAAATTCGATCAGTCCCCCACAAAGTTCTTTATTGCAAAAAGAACCATCCTGTTCGAAGATCGGTTCTCTTCTTGAACCACCTTGAAGGGTCGCTCTAGTCTATTCTCAGTCTTCTATCAAAGAAGGAAGGCAGCTTTGTATTATTGTACGCGTTCAAAACTTGCGTGTGTGTAAATAAATGACTTTGACACAAACATTCTTATTTGAAACAGTTTTAACTGTTGTGTAATGGTTAATAAACGGATTTCATGGGGTTAATCAGAAAACCAAAAATTTGGAGTTGAAAAAGGAAATTCAGTGAAATACTGAGTCTCAATAACCCCATTAAATCGAAGCATATTCAACCTTCAACATATTTGACTACGATACTCCGATCTCCCGCTCTCGCGTGTTGTTTAGCGGCGTTTGTGTACTTCTCGTATACAATCTGAGTCATTCAGCAACATCGATAATAGTCTCTACTATCGGAGTATTTGTGAATTCCACAATCGAATCCATTCAGAAGCCAGGATGGCGAAAAATATGCAAAACACCTCTTACAGAAAACTTGATGTTGATGCGTTCGATCCGGAACAGTATGACGAAAACGACGAAAGTAAGTCATTTTCATATTTTCGGAATTATAAACCTGTGCTCACAAATTCTTTTTCATCTCGAAAAGAGTTGAGAACATATTTTTCGCTTTATTTAAACAAGTATTAGAATCAATTTTGGTTCATTTGCAGCGGTCGATACCCCCGGGCTTGGCCCTGACGAGCGAGCTGTTCAAGGCTTCTTAAGTTCCAACCGTCTAGAAGATGCTCTTCACGCAGCTCTTCTCTCCCCACCGCTCAAAACTAAAGACCAGGTAATTAATTTTTAATTGTATCACATTCGTAGAGCACTAATGTGGGTTTTCTGTAACCAAAAATTAATTTAAAAGCTGTTCGTTGCGAGATAAATTAGAGATCGTTTCATTATTTACCTCTTTCTTCTCAGTATGATTCTAACTACAAAAGTTCTCTTTATGAATGCAATTCCGCATTTTTCAGAATGTGAAAGATCGTGCTACTCAACTTGTTGCCAAGGTGCTTCAATCGTTTAAAAACGCTGAAATCGAACAAGCGGTCCAGAAACTTTCAATCGACGAGGGAGATATTCTCATGAAATACGTTTACAAGGCCATGGAACTAGGATCTGATGCGGCGGCCTGCCAGTCACTTCTTGGTTGGCATGCCCAACTTGTATCAAAATTCGGACACGGAGCTATCATGCGCGTTTTTTCAGGTCGCCAACGTCTATAATTTATTGAACATTTTCGTATTCTGTGATAATCATTCCCCTCTGCTCTCGTTTCATGTGAATTATTAAGGATTAAGTGAAGCTTTATGATATTCTTTAATATTTTTGAGCACCAAGTATGGTAGTGAAATCTTAAAGCATTGGAACCGTCATACATTAGTCGATATTATTCTTGTGCAAAAAAATTGGAGTTGTGGCCGAATTTCCACACAAATTAGGCCACCGTATTTCAAGGAGAATTTTCGAAAACACAGCCGGCAAACGAGTGCTACCGTAACCCAACAATAAATATTTTCGCAAAATTTTTGACTTATTTTTTCCTTTTTATCAATTTTTTCGTGGTTTTGGCCGTTTTTTCACCATTAGGTGAAACCATTTGGTTTAGGTGAAACTATTAGGTGAAACCTATTT